ACACACAGCTCACTCCTTGATTTCACTCAGTTGTTGACATTTGATGAGCCTGTGTGGTGCTCCATGGCCTTCAGGAGCTTTTCTTTGGATTGAGCTTGTTTATTAATTTGTTGTCTCAAGTCAGCTCCACCTGCTACACAGCTCAAGGTCTTTTGGAGGTGTGTGGGAAATTACTGAGGACCTTTTATGTCGTAGAGACGGCTTTTGCAGTTGTGCCCTGGGGAGGTAGCAGCACATAGAAGGGTAGGAAATGACTTAACAGATGGGTAAAGAGGGCCAGCTCTGTCCTGGCCCATCCCCTAGATGCTATCCCTGCCCCTGAGGGCAGTCAGAACATGGTATGAAATGTTTAGGTGGAAACTAGCGAGCTAAGGGCAGGAATAGCTCAGTAGGTAGAGTGGTGGCCCCATGATCGGAAGGTCGGGGGTTCGATTCCCCTGAACAGCTACCCTGAGGTACCCCTAAGCAAGGTGCCATCCCTACACACTGCTCCCTGGGCACCCAATGGCTGCCCACTGCTTCACTGTGTGAATGGGTTAAATGCAGAGAGGAATTTTCCCGTGGGGATCAAGAAAGTACACTTTCTTTTCTTGTTAAATTTAATAAATTCTGTTTTCATGGATGCCTGGATGTTAAACTTAATTGTTACACCTGCTAAAGCAGCAATGCTGATGATTTTCAGGGTTCTTACGGGTGCTTGAAATCCATACGAACGGATGAGAGGAGAAATGATTCTCATTTCTCTCAGTGTTTGTTTGACTTTGGGACCTGAAGCGGACGGAGTTTTGGACCGGATTACTCCGCGAAGCTCCTCACTACGATAGCCGTAATGCTCTGACAATCCATCAAAACATTTTTTAACAGATTTCTGCAGCCAAAATCGGTTCGAGGTCAGTAAGCACAACCAGAATTCATACATAAGGCACACTTTTGATTTTTGAGAAAATTAAAGGATTTTAAGTCCTTATAGTGCGGAAAATATGTTATACAGAAGAAAATAATATATCGCGATATATATCGTTACCGCACGTGCTTCAAATGATAACGCAATATGGATTTTAGGCCATATCGCCCAGCCCTAATAGTAACCATCTGTACATGATATAGTTAGAACATGATTGAGAGTTATTTGTTGTTATTTGTTGCCAGCATGTCACACACTTTTCATTTTCATTTACTGTGTGCTTATGGATTCACTAGCTTACCTTAGCTTGTAGCCGACTGCTTGTAGCACTTTGGCGACAGTGGGAAGGAAAAACTCATTTTTAACAGGAAGAAACCTCCGGCAGAACCAGGCTCAGGGAGGGGTGGGGCCATCTGCTGTGATTGGTTGGGGTGAGAGAAGGAAGACAGGATAAAGACATGCTGTGGAAGAGAGACAGAGGTTAATAACAGATATGATTCAATGCAGAGAGGT